GGCCGTTCCCTCCTTGCCCAGCACGGGGCCCCATCGCCCCAGAAATGCGGCGCTGACGCCGTTTGGCTCCAGGGACCCAGTTCAGCCCCGGCTGAGCGGCAGGATTGGAGCAGCTCCCGGCGGGAGAGGGACGGGCAAAGTGCTGCATTTCTGCCCAAACACTTGGAGAATCACGGACTCACAGGATGTTAAGGGGTTGGAAGGGACCCTAAAGATCATCTTGTGCCATCTCCCTGCCATGGACCTGGTTGCTCAGAACCCCCTCCAGCCTGGCTTTTTGAGAGTTGCAGGGCTGGAGCATCCACAACCTCCCCGGGCAACCTGTGCCACTGTCTCACCAGCCTCACAGTAAAGAATTTCTTCCTAATATCTAAGCCACATGTCCCCTCTTTCAATTAGTACCCATTACTCCTTGGCCTGTCACTACAGTTCCTGACAAAGAGTCCCTCTCTGGCTTCCCTGCAGGCCCCTCCAGGTACTGGAAGGTGCTACGAGGTCTCTTCTCACAACCTTCTCTTCTGCCTGTCACTGACATGGGTTGTCTTACTCAGCTAAGCTCTGGGACAGTGGCTGATGTTGGGAAGCACCTTGGAAACAAGGAGCAATGGACAATGAAGGCTGAACCTTCCAGTCCTAAGGAAAGCTGGATTGTAATAATTACTGAGGCAATGGTAGTGCTCCCCTCGGGCTAGGGTTCAGGTAGCAAATGCTCCAAGGCTGTCAGGGGATAACTGATCATTGCCACTCTTGTCCTTCACCCCAGCCTTTAGCCAAGCAGCTGAAGTTCCTGCTACAGTCAGTGCTGCTCCCACATTAGCCATGCAGAGTTCCTAGTGTGATCAAGGGACACTTCACCACCCCACCCATTACACAAAGGCCAAGGAATGGGAATTCCTAAGAGAGCAGAGCAGCCTATGGAGGAATAGGGGTGATGTCTGATCACAGCTGCTTTCCTGGAGATGGCTGAGCCCCAGCTCCCAACCAAGCACCACACGGACACCTGCTCACTCCCCTCCTGTGGATGTGGGAGAGAACTGGAAGAGTAACAGTGTGAAAACTTGTGGGTTGAGACAGTTTATTAGCTAGTACGTGGATGAGGTAGAGGATGGGTGTTGGGGGTTGAAGAGCAGCTGGGGAGGCTTATGGTGAAGGCTGGGAAACCATGAGCAGGAGAAGCCATGACATAAATGGTGTCACTCTGGTTTTGCTGACTGCTGCACCTTCTTCTTCGGCTTGCTGCTCTGGGTTTCACCTTTTTGCAGTGACGTAGAGCGTTTGAGATCAGCCTTCCGCAAATAGCCTTTCCCCATCACAAACACCGATGGGCTCTTCTGAGATGGCTTCAGGTTAGGAATGCTGGGAAGAAAGGGACGGGTGTTAGCCAGATGAACATTCCCAGCCAGCCAGCTGCTCGCCTGTCTCCTCACAGAGCACACAGTGTCACATCCTCTCTCCATGCAAGCAGCGAGCAGCAAATGAAACAGAACTGCACTCCCTGCCATGGAGGCAGCAGAGGTGGAAGGGCAGAAACACAACCAGTTATGGGCCTGGGGACCAACTGCAGCATATGGGGCTCCAGGCAGAGAAGGAGGCTGGGCTTGTCCCATAAGGAAGCATAGCTGGGGACTGGTTGGCCCCTTGGCAGCCATTCTGGATCTCCCATTCCAGATTTTGCAGCCCTCCAGGAGCTTAGTGTTTCATACAGTGTCTTTTCCCATTGTCTCCACACAGATCCAGAGACATCTCCACAGACATCTGGCCTTGGCCAGATGATCATCTTTCTGTGCTCTTGGATGCTGTGTGTTCCTGCTGCCTCTCTGGGGCTGGCTGTCCCCAGGGCTGCACGCTCACCACTCCAGTCAGAGGGACTGAAGGGAGGATGTCAGAGGATGGACCAGGCTCTGCTTGGTGCTGCCCATCAATAGGACAAGAGGCAATGGGCATAACCTGATGCAAAACAAGTTCCACCTGAACGTGGGGAAGAACTTCTTTCCTGTGCAGGTGACAGGTTGTCCAGAGAGGGTGTGGAGTCTCCCTCACTGGAGGTATTCCAGAACCCTCTGGACACAATCCTGTGCCATATTCTCTGGGATAACCCTGCTTGAGCAGGAAGGGTGCACCAGATGGCCCATCCTGTGATACCCACCAGGAGCATGGATTGGAAAGCACCTGGACATTTCTTACCTGCACAGCATTTCAGCCTTAAATTCCCCCACACGTGTCGGGCAGAATTTCACTTGGAAAATCTGAGTTTGGCCAGCAGGGATGGTGCCACAGTCAGGCTCGACGGAGAACAGCGGTGGGTCATCGAAGTCATCTGGATACAGTTCCATGGAGGAACTAACGTGCTTTGTAAGGCAGGTCATCTGGCTTGAGCGGCGCCGACTTGGCGTGGGCTGAGTAGAGTGGGGCAGACTTGACTGGGGCCGAGTTGACTCGAGCGGCGATGCCCAGTGCACCCGACTTGGACGATGCTCAAACCAGTGATCCACAGTAGCAGAGGACAAGAAATAACCTGCAGGAGGGAAAAGGGCATCTTTCAAAGACAAAATCCTTTGTTCCCAACAACTCTGCCTCCTGCTGCAGGTGGGTAGAAGAGAGCTGGGATGCACTTGGAGCACCTCTGGCCAAGTACTTTCAGCAGGAGATAGAGCGGCTGGGAGCAGGGTCTCCGCCTGCAGCACACACTCCCATGCTGGGGCAGGAGGCTTGGTTTTAGACAGTGACTTTGCATTTGCCCTGGAGTGGGGAATTGCATACAGACAGCGGCTGCAGGGCAGCTCAGTTGTTCCACCCTTGTTTTTCCCAGTCTCAGAGACTTCCCAAAGAGGTGCCCTGATGTCCCCCTTCCCAGTCCTGACCCAGCATGTGGCTCTCCTCAGAGCCCGGCTCAGCTCCTGTGCAGAGCACAAGTGGCAGAGCAAGAAGAGGAGGGGCTAAAAGGCAGAGAGGGGGTAAGGAGAAAACTCTCCAGCTGCAGCTGGGAAGTGGACAGGGATGAAAAAGCAATTAATGTTTTGGGGTGAAGTGGCAGGGTCTTCTCCCCAGGCCCTCAGCTACCAACTGAAATGTCCCAGAGCCAATGACTCACGCATTAGAGTGACCGAGTATGGCTTTCCAGAACGCTTTGATGGTCTTTCCTGCTCCAGATCCACCTCCCAGGAGTATTTCAGGGCTACTTTGCCTGTATTGGACATCTGGAAACTGAAAAACAAGGAGGAGGAATAAAAAGCATGTACTAAAGTAACACTGTATGGTGGGCTCCTGGTACCACCTTCTGCTGAGGAACGTCTTCTTCTCCAGGCAACTCTGCCACATTCAGAATTGCTGCCCTGGGTGGCCCAAACAAAGTATTTCAAAGTCTGGAAGTTTAGGAGGAAAGGGCCAACATGGTGCCCAGCACTCACGTGCTTATCTCTGTCTGGAAGGGCTCAGTCTGCTTCAGCTGAACCTCAACTGTGTCCAGTTTGAACTTGGCGTAGTCAACTTGAGCACTAAGGAAAAGCTCAACCTCGCGGCTGCTCTTCTCCAGGACGGTGTGAGTTGGTTCCGGGACTGCCTTGGCCACCTGCAGGCAGAGGAGGGAAGAATCACTGAGCAGAGCCCAGAAAGCCAGGCTGAGCTGAGAAATCCTTTGGCCTCCAAACTCAGCCGCATAGAAAGGACATTCAGGTTTATTTCCCTGGAAAGATGACAAAATTGGACTGTTGTACTACAGCATTGGTTTCTACCCACTGATCAAAGCAGTCACCACCACAGCTATTAATACACTCATGGGGATTATGGCCAGCTGTCAGTCCCTGTGCTTCAACCCTGAAGAGCCTCTGACCTTTTCCCTGGTCCCCTATAAATCCAGCAGGTCTCAAAGTTAGGATTAAGTTCCCCTGCTGGAGCCCTGTAGATGGAGAAGCCCAAGACTGACTAGTCCTAGAAAGAACTTCCTTCTCATCTTAGGAGAAAGTGCCCTCCAGATGGCACATGGGGGGTGGGAGCTGGCTGTGGGCATTTTGGGATGCGAATAAACTCACTGGGAAAGTCTCCAACTGCTGATGCTCTGATGGGGAAGTTGGGTTTACAGGACTTACAAAGTTCTCAGAAAGAACCTTCACCAAGACAAGTGTGTGTGGCAATAATGATAGAAAGCAAGAGTTTCTGGAGATGATGCTTCTCCAGACTCCTGCACAGTGCCTGGGCTGCTCCATAATGAGATATCCCCCACAAGACAGAGGCCACACCCAAAATCTCTGGTATCGGTGTAGGCAGAGCTCGGAGCTCATTGGTGTACGTGGAAGAGCACTTGTGCTGCTCTCCCCTTCAGAACAAGAGACAGAATGCAGTGGAATTAACTCCTTGTGGGTGAAAAGGCACCAAATCAGATGAAGAGATTTTAACACTGTAAAATGGGATAAAATCAAACGTGACCTCCCATTCAACATGGGCTGCAACACTTGGCTTGTGGCACAGACTGGCAGTTTGCATGTGGATAAAGGTCTCTTGCCCAAAGGCTTCCCCCTGTGGTGTGAGCCCACCCGCTCACTGCGCATCCGCCTCTCCCTAAAAGGCACTGCTGGTGAACCTCCCGGCTGGAGCCAATGCCCAGGGGAAGCAGGAGCTGCTCTGCCAGCAGTGCTGGTGCTCTGCTGCTGTCGGCAGGTCCTTTTGCAGAAGCTTGGTTAGCTTTTGCTGCTGTGCTTCTTACCTTCTCCTTGATAGGCCAGCGGGCTCCTGGTAATCTCTCATTGGTGTCCTCCCACTTCTCAGTGTACATTCCATCGTCCCAGTTGTAAACTTCTTCTGGTGGCAGCTGGTATTTGATCTTGTCCACCTTACAGTTCACAGAGTGCCTTTTGATGGTGACTGGGACTTTGGATTTCAAGGTCACTCTGATATCCTTGGCACAACCAGGCTGGAGGTGTCCCACCTAGGGAGAACCAGAGAGTCAAGACCAAACTGGAATCACTGGCAAGGGCAGCACTGACAGCAAAAGGGATTGATATGGCGAGCAGCTGTGCCGGGAATCTGCACCTCAGTGAGGATTTATGTGAGATTTGATAAAGCAAAGTATCAACAGAAGGTGCCACCTCCCATAACACGGAGCCTTTTCTGCTGGGCTGACAGCCCTGCCCCAGCCAGGGGGGATCTCCTGCATGGCACTGGAATGGGCTCTCACTCTGGTGACTCCCTGCCAGCTCCCAGGAACACCGGGAAAGGGTTTGAGCAACTGGGAAAGGCAGGGTTGTCCCAGCTCACCTTGGGGGAGAACTGGAATAGGGCGTCTGCCAGCCACTCAAACCGCATCACCTCCTTGCTGCGGTTGGTGACTGTGAAGGTCTTCTCGCAGAGCTCCCTGACTGCACAGTCCCCAAACTCAATGTGATTCGCTCTGATAGCTGTGAAGGAGAGTAAGAGATCTCAGCATGCAGTGAGGTCCATCCACCCCCCTCACTTTCAGAGACACGTGTATGTTCAGCTCTTCCTTGCACCAAGCCTCCCTCCCTCTGGGGGTCCCCAAGCCCGTGGCTGTGCTTGTGCCCAGCGACAAGCAGCACAGCAAACACTGCTCTGTGTGCACGGCTGGCAAGCTCACAGGCCCCCAAGTCCAGTGGGTGACAGCCCAGCCCTGGTTAGAGAGAGGACGTGCATGATCAGACATTTTCCTCTTCCTCGCTCTACCTTGGCAGCCTCTCCTCTCTTACCCTCAATGATGTCGTCCTCCAGACTGCCCTCAGCATTGCTCTTCTCGCTGTCTTCTGCTAGTCCAGGGAGGTTATCAAAGGTGAAGTCATCGTCGTAGCCTTCACCCACCAGCTCTATGTTGATTTCATTGTTGCCTGACAGTGGCACACGGATCTTCCCTTCCAGATGTTGGGCCAGGGTGGGTTTGAAAAACACATCAAACTCTGCTGACTGCCCGTGTTCCAGGAGCATGTAAGGCTTCTCAGGATGCTTCTTGGCTGCACAGCAATGGGAATCAGATTTAAGTGATACAGCTGTACAGAGGAAATATTTCCCGGGGTTATACGAGGAATAAGAGGTTGGAATCAGTTGCTTCTAAGCACAGGTTCTCCCACCAGTGGTTCCAGACCCTCTTCCTGTGTTCACAAGACTATGCCACCATCACACATATCACCACTTAAGCTGCTTAACCTCAGGTTAATGCCCAGCCCTCATTCCATCTGCTTCCAGCCAGCTCCTGCCGTATGGAAGGCTGAGCCAAGGAGTAGTTTTGGCTTCTGCTGGCTGGCTTGTGTGCTCAAGGGCTGCCTCCGTTCAGGCTGGTACCTTCCCACATGCAGCAAAGACCTCAGCCAGTCCACTGAGGTGGTGATAGTGCCCCACAGCTCAACCCACCGTGTCTCAAAGAACAGAAAAACTTCCTACAACTTGCTAGGAGGAAACCCTGCAAGGAATCCACAAGAAAAGCTCGGGGGACAGAGAGACCAAGGAAAGAAACTACGTCTAACATGTGGCTGCTGCTTAGACAAGCCAAGATCAGGGCACACCTTTTCCCTCTGTGAATGATCACGCTGCACAGTTAATGAATTTACCTTTTCCAGTGGAGTCCTCTTCCATGTCTCCAATGTGGAAGGCACGGAGTGAGGACTGCCTGCCTTTCATAAAGAAAACTCCCTTGTCATCCACGATGTGAACTGTAAACTGAGAAAAGGGAACACAGAGCACAGTGACATTGGTGTGAGTAGAGGCTGGCACGTGGATTGAGCCCGTACGGCTACTGGTCCAGCATGGGGAAGCCAGACCACCTCCCCACCTCAAACACAGCGCCCAGCACAAAGGTTAAGTGAAGTCACACAGGGGAAAAAGGGTGTTCAGAAGCATATGGATAAACAGGACAGACAGTCATGAGCAGAACGTAATTAAACCACAACTAATTTAATTAAAATGGAGTCAGCCAGTATCAAATGCAATTTCACGGAACTGGGACATCATACATGCCCACATGAGAACAAAATGTGAGCTGGGAGATGGGGGGAAAAACACCCCACCACCTTTCTTGTGTTCTGTTCAACAAGAACACAAAGAGGAAAGACTGGACAGAAAAATCACATTTTTTGGGACCTTTGTTCCATGGGACAAGCACTTGCTCCCAGCCCAGAGCACTCCCCGAGCAGGTCCTTACCTTTGTGGGTATGACGCCATCGTTACGAAGGACCAGGGGCAGTGCCTGTGAGTCCCCCAGCAGGAGCCTCCTGAAGCGCAGCACAGGGTTTCCTCTCTTGCTCCGAAGGCCTGGGTACTCGACTGTCACCTGAGGCACGTGCCCCTCTCCACTGATAGTGAAGGTCAGCTGTTGGGGTTTCGTATTCACAGAGCTGCTGGAGAGGCACAGAAACCATTTCAGCCAGAGCCTTCCAGAATAACAGTTCTAAATAATTTCCCTGATTTGAATCATGCTGTACAGCAGATAAATAATGAGGCACCAGATGAGACGTGGCAAATCCTCTGGCTGCAGTGATATGAGACATATGCAACAAGCAAAAGCACACCATGAAAACAGTACGAAGGCAAGAAGGGAAAACCAAACCAACAGCACCATCAGTAAAGATTATTTCCAAGGATACTACAAAAGGAACTGCTTGTTAGGGCAGAAAGCTGACTTCCCTGTTCCAATTCAGCCACTAAAGGCTTGGGGAAGGGCAGGTCAGAGCCCCAGTACACAGGTCCCAGGGAGAGGAACTGGGCTTCTCTTTGATAAGAGCTCAAATCACTCCCCTGATATAAAAATAGCTTAATGCATGCAGGGAACCACACAGGATCACTTCCTTTTACAGAAATAAGGAGGAAATCTTGACTTGCTGGCACAGAAACTGCTTCATCTAAGCCTTTTGTCCTTGGAAAGCCCCAGCTCAGCTGTTGCACTTCTCAATAACTTCCAGTTGGCTACCTAAGGCCCTCTCTTCAGAGTCCCTCACACAGGCTGAAGTATCCTCCCCATTTTTCTGCTCTGCTCTGCCTAACAGTTACTACCTCCCAGATCATCTCATGCCAAGTACTCTGCCTAAGAGTACTGAAAGCATTAGAGGCACCAAGAGGAGAGGCAGCTACCAGAACGGTCCCCCCCAATACTTCACAGGGTCACTCACCTTTTTGGGATAACAACAGAAGCTGTGAAAGTACACTGGTGGTCCTTCTTTTCTTCTGGAGTGAAGGTCACTGTAGCAAAGCCATGAGATAAGCCAGGAAGCTTCATCTCAACAGGATCCAACTTGAAGATGTGGCTGATGAGGTTGTGAGGCTTGGGGGGAACCCACAGTGCAGTGTTAGTGTCACATCTTTCAGTGTGACCCAGTACATCCATAGATGCATCCCTGGGAACAGCCCCAGACAGCCTGTCTTGCTTCATGCTTCCCTGGGCAGGCTCCTCCATCCCAGGGGATGCTGACCTTGCGCCAATGCCCAGGCATACAAAAGCTTGCTTTGATGGCTGGGTAGCCACCCCAACACATGTGGGAGGTTGGGGCAGCATGGAAAACCCTGCAAATAACCCAGGACTGGCCTTTCAAGAGAAGGAAAAGCCAGGAAATGCTCTGCTTTGAGCTCTGTCCCATCAGTCCGTAACAGCCCCTCTCTGAGTGTGCTTTCCAGAGATGTTCAGGATTCCCACCAAAGACCCAGAAGCGTGAGCCAAAATTTGCTTGAGAGATGTGGAATTCAATGCAAGTGCCCCCCTGGCATTGCTGCTCTGCCCTGCAGTTCGACCTGCACTGAGCTGGACTAGTCCAGCTGGGCCAGAGAATGCAATGATTCTGGAGAACAAGGCAGGCTCTCACATGGCCTTTAGAGAGCAGTGGTCACCTTGGCCTCTTGTTCTTACCTCTCCAGGCAAGGCTTTGATGGAGAGGACCACATTACATGGGATACTGCTGGCATTAGAGATCTTGAAGTAAGCTGTGGCCCGTTGCCCAACCAGAACTTTGGTGAAGATGAATGTGTTATCATCTCTGATGAACACACCATTGCCTTGCACTGACTGTAATGTCTGGTGGAGATTGATGTTGCTGTGGATCGGGTACTTCTCAAAGATGGATGTGACGTCTTCAACAAGTGCTGCAGACAGACCAGAGGGAGGGCTGAGGCTGGAGAAGCCTCTGCTGAATTTACCTGGACCCAGTTGGCCTCTCAGAAGGCTTCATAAGCCCTTTCTGCCCAGGTGACTGCAAAACCCAGCCTTGGATAAGAGAGCTCAGTCAGTGAGGATGGAGCTCAGTCAACCTCAGTCTTAAAGGGCATTGCTTTCCTTTTATGCTTCCACACATCCCTCCCAGCCTCTCCCCACTGGTGGACTTGAAAACGACTGCAACCTCTGAGGATTTTAAGGTGGGACTTCAGGACCAGGGTGCCTCTCTATGCAAGTAGCAAGTTTAGGTGCTGATCAGCAGCAGGACTGCCCATGGCAACCTGTGGACAGTACGTACCTGGGAAGCAGGACTCGGCAGTCAGAGTAAAGGGAATGCCGAGGGGATTGTCCTTGGGGTCTCTGTTGCTGATGTCAATGTACACCTGCTCCTCGCATTTCCCCTCTGCTCCTGCGTTGCAATCCACTGTGATGTTTTGCTTGCCCCAAGGACCGATGGAGCCGGAGCAAGGGGACACGGTGAACATGCCTACAGTGAGCTGAGCCTGCAGAAAGAGCACCAGGACAGGCTGATGCCCGACAGCCGTGCCCTGAACACCCCCAGCAAGGAGGATGCCACGCCTCGGCCTCCAGCTGGGCCCAAGCACCCAGTGTCAGGGCAGGGAAGGACGACTCCACAGCCCAAAGGCAGCCCCAGGATGAGATGAACAAGCCAGAAGGAGCTGCACGTCTGTCCCGAGTGGCAGAGAGGAAGGAGTTTGGTGAAAAGAATGAAGGTGGTAGCTGGGATCCTTCAACCTCCAGGGGTACAGGAGAGCAGAAAGGACTGAGAGCAATGATGGGAGAGAGGGAGAGGATTGGAAAGAAGAAAAAGCAAAGTTGTCAGTGCTCTACAGATTGGGAGTTCAGATGGGGACAGTTTGCTCCTGTGGTGTTCACAGATCTGTGCTGGCTAGCAGCCACCAAACACAGGACCTGCTCCCCTCTCTTGACCCCACAACTGCAGGTCAGAGCCAGAGCATGGGACTGTCAGTGGAACTGAGCAGATAATGGACTCTCCATCCCGCAGATCATGTCCTATCCCTCATGTCCTATCCCCAGCCTGGGCACAGCTGCATCCTCCCCCATCCCCTGCAGCACCACATGCTGGGGAGGAGCAGGAGCCACCCACCTGTGTCGAGTGCGTTTTTTCCCTGACCGAGGGGGCAGATTCCTCTTCCTGTGAACTGAGAGGAGAAAGCAGAGATGTGTCATGCTGAGCTCCCCTGCCTTTGTCTGAGGCCAAAGCTGGCCTTCCTCCCCATGGAGGAAAGCCTTCCTGCTCCCGATGGCCCCTGGAGAGCTGCCTGCAGCACGCATTGCTGCAGCTCATGGACAGAGCAGCTCTGTCACCAGCTTTGTCCCACACATGGGGATACTGAGGTGTTGTTTTCCTCCCTCTTCCCAAGCCAGCAATCCAAATGGACAATAACCCAGGTCTGGCTGCCTGTCACACACCAGCTGTGTGGTGGTGCCTCCTCAGACAAGAAAGGCTGGTGCAGGTCTTCTCTTACCTTTGCAGTGGAGGTGCTTGGTGGATGAAGAATTTGAAGTTGAGGGCGCCTTTGTTCTCTACAGTTAAGACCTGGGTCTTCTTGGTGCCCTTAATCATGGTACCAAAGTCGATGGGCGAGGCAGGCTCGATGCTGTACTTGCTGTACACTGCTCTCGCCGACACCCTCACTGGGATGGTGGCAACAGTCTCACCTCCCACTTGGGGATCAAAGACCTGCAACCAAAGGAGGGGTTGGTAAACACAGCAGAGGCCAGTCTCTACCCCTGTCCCCTGACCCCACCCCAGGTCTCCAGCAGCTCACCCTCCCTATTTAAAGGCCTCTTCCAGAGCCAGATTTACAGCTCTCTTATGAAGCCTCCCAAATGGTTCTGGAAGTTTTTGTTTGTGTATGTAGGAGAGAGGATGCCCCAGCTAAAAACTTCTTTGCCAAAGACACCTCTCCTGCTTATGCTCCCAAGACACACTGTGCTAATATAGCCAGGCCCTGGCAGCTCACCTGGCAGAGCAGGATGGGTCTGCTCTTGAGAAGCATTTCAGTCATAGGGTGGAAGAGGATCTCAACTTTCACAGGTGGTTTGGAGGCTTTCAGCACAGCCCTCTGTGGCCGGACAGTGAAATGAGATTTCAAGTCACCCTTCTTGGAACTTCCAGTTGTCAGCTTGAAACTGTGGAGAAAGGGAAAGAATGAAGACCTCTGCAGTTGAAAGTACAGGTGCCACCAGCACAGCCAGGACTTTGCATAGGACCAGAAAAAAAAGAAAAGGGAGCAGCACGGGAACAGGTTCTAGCCATGGACAGAATGGACAGAGGGAGAACGCAGGCCTAGGAGCCTGAGGAAAAGCTCAGCACCAGGCAGCTGGACTCACTTGTACTCAATGTCATATAAGCCTTTGTTCTTAAGACTGAGGACTTCCTTCTTATTATCAAAGACATTAATGGTTCCAAAATCAACGCTGCCGTCTGGACCTGTAGAAAACCCGTAGAGTGAGGTAAGAAATGGTGAATATTTGTGAGCTGCTGCAGAGCACTCCCGGTCACAAGCTACATAGTTGGAGTTCTTGTATGGCACAAAACCCTCTTCAGCAAGTGTCCCTTCTCAGAAGTGTTCTCTAGCTACTTGGCTGCCCTTTCTCTTCTTACTCCCAAGTATCTGCAGGGTAGAAGCCAAGGAGCTTGGTTTCCATTTCCTTGCTTCCAAGCACAAATCCAACTGCTTTATGTGCTGTGCTGAGCCTTTGGGCATTGCCAACTGCCTGTTCAGATGACTGTTGTTTCAAAGCACCAAATGCAATCTGCACATGAAGCTGCACATTTCCAAGTTCAGAAGGGAGAGACTCAAGGCTGTTGGTGCCCTGACAGTGCTTTACTTCACGCAGCTTGCAAGGTATGTGCTTTATGGATCTGTGCCACCCTTGCCTGCAATGCCATCCCCTCCCAAGGGCTTTGGTTGCCCACTTGCTAAGGTAGTAAAATGCATCTGGACTGTGTTGTCTGGGAGGCATCCACTGACCTTCAGGCATGTTGATGCTCAGATTAACATCATAAACCTCCACAGAGACTTTGATGGTTTCCGCATGAACAATGCCCAGGATGTTTTCTGTATCTGAAACCTGAGGCAGCAAGAAACAAACACTGCTTAGACCATTCTTTTGGAAGACAGTCTCTAAGTCCTTGTCTCTTCCAGCTGCTCCCCCCATGGCCTCCCTGGCTTGACAAGCGTTTGTGGACTCCCAAGCTTTCCTAACCTGCCCATTTCACAGGCTGCCCCAGTGGGATTCTGCTGCAGTAAGAAACCTTATCAGCCCAATTCTGCACTCCCACAGCAGGGAATGGTGCTGCTAAAGCACCCTTGAGAGGGCCAGGGCTGTAAACACAACCACAAGAAATGTGAGGTGTCCCAGAGCAGGTGGCATTGACAATTAATGCCCTCCTCTTCAATCACCTCGCATGCTTACTGAAATGCAGCCTCTAAACCACAGGGAAGAAAATCCCAGAAAGGGTCCAGAGAGAATGCTGGTCTGTACAACCAAACAACAGCCTTCAAGCGTGCACATCAGCAAGGAGGCTGTGGTACAGGCTGCGGATGCAGAGCCTGGGCACCCGGCCAACCCAGCACAGAGGCAGAAGTTGGGGCCACAGCACCCCCGTGTCTGTCAGATGCAGCTCTCTCTGTCCCTAAGAGCACACGGCTGCTTGCTCTGCCCTGCTCTGCCAGGAAGGCCCAAGTCTCTCTCACCTCCACTCGGATCATCTTATTTATGATGCCAATCTTCTCAGCCCTAAAATTCAGTTTAACTTCTAAGTCTTTCCGGGGCCCAACAACGCCCCTGCCTTGTGACACAGAAAAATCTTCTCCAAGGTCCTCCAGCCCACTCAGATGCCATGCCATGGGCAGTGGGCTGTCATTTCTAAGGACCAGGGTCTGGGTGTCAGTCCTGCAGAGACAGGAAAACATTCAGTGTCAGCTGCTTGGTGTTCACACCAGTCTCGCCATTGAATGCAGCTCGAAGCAGCTCTATCTGAGCCTCTGGAAACAGAGTCTAATCTCTTTGTCACAAGCCCTGGAGTGCCCTCAGCCATGGGATGACTGACCTGTGCAGAAGAAGCTTGTTGAATTGGAGCTCCTGGGGGCTGACCCCCAGCTTCACATGCACCCCTTCGCAGCACAGTCGGAACACCACTGGCTCTGCGTTGTCCTTGACGTGGCAGATGAGACTGTCTTGCATGAGGCCAGTGGAAGTCGGGTACGCCCAAATAGTCAGCTTCTGAATCCGTCCCCACAAAAAGAAATACAAAGAGCCCTCTGTGAGCAGGAGGAACGGCACTTCTGCGGTGCCTGCCCTACCTGCTCACCTCCTACCTTCTTCTCTTTGGGCTGCAGCCTCATGCTGGGAGGGTCCAAAAGGAATGTCTCTCCTCTGCTGTCATTCTCAAAGGAGAAATGGACCTCTGCCTCCATGGGGGAGTCATTGAAGATGGTTAACTTCTCACTGTTGTCGGGGCAGTTCTGTGCCTTGTACCTGTCCAGAGAAGGGGAAAAGGCTGCAGAGGAGACTGTTGCCCTCACCACACACCGAGGAAAGCACTGTGTGCCAGCTGCAGGAGGTGGCATTGGAAGACCATGGTCTAACAAGCAGGGGAAGAAAAAGGATCCCTGTCAGGGGCACGAGGCAAGGTATGTGTGCTCATCCTTGCCTGGCTTTGATGCCTGCCCCTATACCTGGTGCCTGCACCCCAGAAGCGTGACGATGCACAGGCCATTTCAAGAGTGTTTCACACAATATAAATTCAAAGGGCCTGGAAAAACAACAACACACCAGGCACAAGGGTTCTTTCCCCTTCTTTCTTGGGGTGCCTTCCCTGCAGAGGATAGAGAAAGGCTTTGGAAAAGATGTTTTCAAAATAGTTCTGCTTATCTGTTTTAGAAAGTCGTCAGACTAGCACGGGTTAGCTCAAAAGTGTGAGGGAAAGAAATCAAAAGCATCAATTCCCAAGGGGAATGTGAAAGATAACAAATGACCCTTCCCTGAGGTGTGCAACTGAATTTGGAGTGAAAGGGTTAAAGAGGCAAACAGAAATCTCAGACCATCCATCAGCCTGGCCCTCCAGAGCTCCCATGGAGACAAGAACTTAACTTCAAATATTATTAAAAAAATAAAAACAAGAGTGACATTAAAACCAGAAATATGCCAACAGCTACAATGACAACATTTTTAGGCAGACTTTTTCCAGCACTGCGGATGCACTGGAATCTCAGGAAAATGTAATTCCTGCTGTAGGTTCCCCTCTGACTCACACATATTGGCAGGTCAAATCACAAAATCTCACTACTATTAGAGATTAATGCAAGGTTTACAAAACCATCTAGAGAATACTTGCTTGTTTAGTCTACCTGTAGAGCTCAAAGCACTTGAAAAAGCACCATAAAGTTCGTTTCCTAAGGGGTGGAGCTGAGATGTGGAGGGGGACACAAGTTGCCCCAAGTCACCTTCGGGCTGACAGCAGCATGTGGCTCTGGACACCAGGGCACCCACCAGGTTGGCAAGGCAGCTCCTCCAAGGCTCATTTGCCTGTTATCTGCTCACGCTCACACATCTGTGGTCCCTCACCCCATGTGTCTGCCAGGTCTCTGCCTGGGACTGCCCTGCATTGTGCCACTGGGACAGTGTGTCTGCAAGTGTGTCCAGGAGAGCACAAGGCCCTGGAGATCCCCTCCCGACATCTCAG